GGGGGGGGGGGGTGAATGTGGGCAGAGCACCCATCTTGCTCCTGCAGGTGCGGGCACTTGTGAAGCTGATGGTTCTTAAAGAGCCACAGCACTGGGGAGCCCACATCAGCGAGGCCACCAGGCACACATCCAAGCAGTGAGGCAAACCCACGGGAAAGGGAACCTCATGCTGGGTGACCGGTCACAGCTGCCTCAGCTGCCTCCCCACCCAACTGGGCAGAGCAGCCATACAGAGAATGGCTTCGCTCATATCTTGGAGGGACGCCCACTGACTGCCCCGTCAGCTCACTCAGGGGGCTGAGGGCACCGCTTTACGCCCTGGACCTGCTTTAACTGACAAGGCTGCAGGCCAGCAGGCAGCCGGGCCTGGCCTGGGGTCCACACTGCAGGAGCCCAACGCAGCTGGCACTTAAATCAGGGTGGGCGAGGGCTTCATAAGACACTGTGGTGGCTGGCGAGGGAGCCGGGGAAATGGAGGCTGAATCCGTAGGCCTCACTTCCCATATACAATACATATATATGCTTCACAGGTTAATCCTACAGAACACGCATGGGGTCTAGAAAAACACGGGCGAATGTTTTACCCTCCTAAAGATGGAGAAAGCACTGAAAAGCCACAAGGAAGAAAACAAAGAGAATACAATTTAGATCCTCTGTAGAGAAGCCACCTCTCCTCCGCCCAAATGAAAAGCAAACGCTAACTGGAAAGTACCTGCCTAAAGCAAACACATCAGCTCACCGCACTGAGAGAGGAGTGTCCAGCTTCAAACGCAGGCCGCCGGCCCTCCTGCTCGGTAGGAGGCTGGCGGCACTGGCGCCGCGGGCGCTCCGAAGGCAGCGTTTCCTTCGGGAGTGACCGCGCAGGGCGGCCACAGAAACGCCCCGGGCCATCAACAGAAACCCTGTGTCCCAACAACAGAGTAACGCACCTGTAAAAACTACATAGGTCTCAAGTCACTGACGTGAAGACACCTGATAAAAACCTGCTCCTGAGGTTACAGAAGAGCAGCGGGAGCTCAACCTTTCATTTTCTCTATGTACGTATATTCACATACACATTCAGCCGTCAACGAGTGCTTTGCACAAATGCTGGAAGCTACCGTCTCAGAGACGGAAGTACAGGTGAGTCTTCCTCTAAAAATAGATGGTTTAGGCCCTGGCCGGGTGGCTCACTTGGTTAGAGCAACCTCCCAATAAATCAAGGTTGCAGGTTCAATTCCCGGTCAGGGTACATACAAGAATCAACCAATAAATGCATAAACTAGTGAAACAACAAAAAAATCAGTATTTCCCTCTCTCCCCCCTTCCTCTCTAATATCAATTAAAAAAAAATACACTGGTATCCTTTTTACAATGAACACTGTCCTGTTAATATATATATCATACACATATATTTTTTTCAGAACAAAAAAGCTAAGCTTTGTCTACCTCCCACTGAGGTCCAGAACTGCTGTGTTCTCTGCAGGCCTGAGGCAGCAGCTGGGGGCGGGAGGGGGAGGAGACAGACTCCGTGCTCAGCAGGCCCCCCTTCTCCAGCATACCGGCCAGCGGTGGGGTAAGAAGGGACAACCTTGGCTGGGAATGACATGCGTAATTAAGAGGAGGGGAGTCTTTACTATGATAAATAAAGACAACCAACTGTTTTTTAGATTTTTTTATTTTGGTGTTAACTCCACAAGAAAACAAAAAATCGGTTACTCGGTGTACGTGAAATCAGAACAATACAACCACGGGGAAATCTCAGCCCGGGACAAAACGGACACCTCAGTGCTACGGATGTGCAATGCGCTTCATACCACAGTGTGTCTCAGCGTTTTGCCAACTTTTTAAAAATGCTTCATCTTTGTGATCATCCATTCACAAAACTAAAAACCACACTTTCAACTCTGTTGCTGAAAGCCTCTGGGCTCCAGCCACTTAGCTACGAAAACAAATAAATACATAGTCTGTTAATCCCCTTGCCCACTGGAACCCATCCCCACCCGTGGAAGGTGCAGGCATCTTCCCTCGTGGGGAAGGAAGGTCACGCCTCTCCCACCTGGAGCTGTCCGTCTCCTCCTCAAAGCAGCTGTCCAAAATCAACTGGCTAAAGGTGTTGTCTGAAATATATTTATTTGGTCTCTGCTACATAAGCAACGACTTCTAGGACAATCGTCATGGTAGTGATTTTAGGAATTTACAACACCCAATCCTTTTTTGCTTTTGCTGTTAAGTTATATTTCAGTGCAGATGCTAATGACTTTTTAGGAAGCTCTGGAAGAAAGAAAAATACATAAAACCTTATAAAATCTCTAAATAAATAACAGCAACGTGAAACCTTCCACACGCACGCACACACACACACACACACACTTTAAAGTGTCAGGAGACATGTGTGCCACACAAGCCCTGCCGTGCACTGTCAGACCCAGGCCCTCGGGTCCTCGGTGAGCACGCAGAGCCCGGGGGAACGCCACAGCCTTAGAGGGAGTTTTGTGTCATCAACTAAGAAAAAGGCAACAAAACCCAGCGCTCAAAACAAATCCTGTATTTCTCAGCCAGTCCAGCTCGCAGCTGGTAGACTGCGATGTGTTCACTGCCTCCCAAAGTCAGTGGGGAAGCCGTCCTGTCCACAGCAGACCTTTCTGACGCTCCTGATGTTAGACATGCTAACCTGATTTCACACATTAGGTGCTTTTTGTTTGTTCTTTAAAAAAATAATGAGTTGGTTAAAAAACCACAATTTTAAATGTGTAGGTTTTGCAAACACTGCTCCTCCTCACTCCGCCTGTGGCACAGCAGAGGTGGCGATGGCAGTGAGCTAAGGACTCCACTGACCTCTGGCCCCGTGGAGAAGGGAAGCAAGTCCCCGAGGCAGCCACACACGACTTGCCCAGAACATTCTCTCAAACACAAAAGGAGATCTAAGCTACACTAAATCACAGCCCCAAGAGTCGCCAGCTGCAGCAGCCAAGGATCCTTTGGGTGATGGGGTGTGGCCTCTCCTGCATGTCGAATGTTTATGATTTTGAGTTCTAGGGGTTTTGATTCAATGTAGGTGCTGAGAAAATCATAATTTGCAACTAAGACCCTCACCAAGTATTGTCAGACTTGCCACAGAGAACCCTGGACAGTGCTCTGGTGCCAATATAGTGACAACACAGGAATAGGCCGGTGCCCTTTCACCCCACTGTACCCCACGTGCTACCCCACCCCCCGAATCCTTGGCTACTTCAGTTAGCAATGAAGTCACAAACCACAGTATCTTCCATGACACGGCAGGGGAAATCCTAAGAGAGAAAACACAGTATTCTGTAAGTCTCTAAAAGCGCGCCCTATGCTACTTCCGATGTACACGACCTTACTGAGTGAAGACCCGCTGAGTCGCCCACTCTGAGTCGCCCACGCCTCCCTCTCGTCTTCGGGGAGGCGTCGATCCACTGCGGGGGACATGTTTCTATCCCAGTGCTCGGAGAAGAGAGCCCGCACGTCCCAAAGCTCGCGTCTCTAGAGAGTGGAAGTGGTCGCAGCCACTGCGATGCTAAGGAGGGGACAGTGACCACAGGTGAGATGCAAGGAGAGTGGTATTTCTGAGATAAGCACATGCACACCCATTCTTGGTTTGACAACACAATCTAGTCTATTTCAAAGAGCCAAGAATTTAACAGCTTGAGAAAAAAATCTTCAACAGGATAGCTGTCCTCAACTCTAAAATAAGCAAGAAAAAGGTAATTACTGATCTGACTCAGTTAATTGAGAAGAAACCTAAGTTGTTGTTTTAGATTAACAAGCCTCACAAAAGGGTAATTTCCATCCCATTTCGTTTTTAAACAATGATGTGTGCTACTCTGCAGGCTTAGAGATGAGTTCGAGAAAAGAGCTCCTCCTCGCTGGGCTCGGCCCACTCGCCGGCGCCATCCGAGCCCGTGTCTTCAGAGCCGGAGCTGGCGCTGGAGCACAGCTTCCTGCGGGAGCCCTTTGCCTCCGCTCCAGAGCTTCTCTCCGCTGTGCACCTCGCTTCATAAACAGAAGACACCTGAGAGGAAGGAACACGTTTTAACAGGTCAAAAGCCAGACTTTTCCAAAGGGCTGCGTGACTGCATACAAATCACTGATGTTTCCTGTGGAGTTAAAAAACATGAAGAGTTTTACTGTCTCAAAGCAAAGCAGCCTCTCCTCCCCGATCCAGAGGCAGGCACTGGGCAGGGCACTGGATGCCACATATGGCACGCCCCCCATGGCTCACATTCCCAGAGGGGAGACCAGCACCCCCCCCCCCAAAACCTCCCTCTGTGGGAGTTCAGGGGACTGGCCGGCGGCGCGGTCGAGCACTTCAGATGGGAGGAGTCCCAGGGGAGGCAGGTCTTTGAGGAGAGGAGGCCTCACCTGAAGGCTTGGAAGCAAGCGGAGCCAGAGCCACAGCCAGAGCTTGCCTGGGGCCTGGCTGTGCGTCTGAACTTGGGTCCTATCAGTACCGGTACTTTTTAGGGAGAACTGTTGCGTGGAGCTGTCTCCCACACCCCCATGATCAGTATCTCTGCCCCAGGACGCCAAATGCAAGTGGTAGCCCCTCCCCCATCACAGTAACTAGCATACTCTCCCCACCCCATCATAGTAAATTAGCAACACTACCCTCCCAGCACAGTAACTAGTAACCCTCCCCTACCCCATCACAGTAACTAGTCCCACCCTCTACTCATAGTAACTAGCAAAGCCCCACCCCATCATAGTAATTAGCAACACCCCCCCATCACAGTAACAACATCCCCCACCTGTCATAGTAACTAGGGCACGTGGGGACAACACACACAGGGCCTCAGGGGCATGGCAGGAGTGTGGATTTNTGATGTGTGCTACTCTGCAGGCTTAGAGATGAGTTCGAGAAAAGAGCTCCTCCTCGCTGGGCTCGGCCCACTCGCCGGCGCCATCCGAGCCCGTGTCTTCAGAGCCGGAGCTGGCGCTGGAGCACAGCTTCCTGCGGGAGCCCTTTGCCTCCGCTCCAGAGCTTCTCTCCGCTGTGCACCTCGCTTCATAAACAGAAGACACCTGAGAGGAAGGAACACGTTTTAACAGGTCAAAAGCCAGACTTTTCCAAAGGGCTGCGTGACTGCATACAAATCACTGATGTTTCCTGTGGAGTTAAAAAACATGAAGAGTTTTACTGTCTCAAAGCAAAGCAGCCTCTCCTCCCCGATCCAGAGGCAGGCACTGGGCAGGGCACTGGATGCCACATATGGCACGCCCCCCATGGCTCACATTCCCAGAGGGGAGACCAGCACCCCCCCCCCCAAAACCTCCCTCTGTGGGAGTTCAGGGGACTGGCCGGCGGCGCGGTCGAGCACTTCAGATGGGAGGAGTCCCAGGGGAGGCAGGTCTTTGAGGAGAGGAGGCCTCACCTGAAGGCTTGGAAGCAAGCGGAGCCAGAGCCACAGCCAGAGCTTGCCTGGGGCCTGGCTGTGCGTCTGAACTTGGGTCCTATCAGTACCGGTACTTTTTAGGGAGAACTGTTGCGTGGAGCTGTCTCCCACACCCCCATGATCAGTATCTCTGCCCCAGGACGCCAAATGCAAGTGGTAGCCCCTCCCCCATCACAGTAACTAGCATACTCTCCCCACCCCATCATAGTAAATTAGCAACACTACCCTCCCAGCACAGTAACTAGTAACCCTCCCCTACCCCATCACAGTAACTAGTCCCACCCTCTACTCATAGTAACTAGCAAAGCCCCACCCCATCATAGTAATTAGCAACACCCCCCCATCACAGTAACAACATCCCCCACCTGTCATAGTAACTAGGGCACGTGGGGACAACACACACAGGGCCTCAGGGGCATGGCAGGAGTGTGGATTTCGTCTAAGGCAGCAACGGACAGTGGCTAGGAGTGTGGGCCCTAAGCCAGGGGCTGCGGTTCTCACCCAGCTCTGGGATGCACTCAGCGTGTAGCTGTAGGACCTGAGGCACAGGGTTCTGAAGCTTGTGTGCCTCAGTTTCCTCTCCTGCACATGGCACAACAGTACCTACCTCTCGGGCTTGTGAGGACTGCAGGGGGCAGGTCAGACCTGTGCGGTCGTCTGCCTTGCTGTGTGGAGAGAAGACTGAGGGACAGCAAGGGGGAGGGGCAGGCCGGGGAAAGCCCCCAGCAGCTGTCCCGGGAACGGCGGTTTGAAGGGAGCAATGGAGACGGAGCGGAGGATTTGGAACAGCTGGGGGTGGTCAGGCCTGCACCCAGGCTGCGTGTGGAAGGGGAGACGTGGGTGAACGGCCTCGGGGTCTCGGCTTGAAGCGGGCGGTGGGAGGCGCCTGCTGACAGGAGGGGCTGCGGCCCAGCAGCATGGACGCAGGATGAGAGCGTGCTGGGAGCTTCGGAAGAACACTCACAGCACTTGGCTGACACTGACAGTCACACTAAGGAAGAAGTTCCTTCCACTCACTCGCCTGCCTGCCTGCACCAGCGCTCTGGCCCTGTCCTGCCGCCCACCCTCGGGGAGCTCCCAGGCCTGTACCGGAGGCAGACGCGCAGTCGGGCAGGGGCTGCTGG